ATCCACCTGATGCCGTTCACTCTTCGTCTCGCATACATGTTCCACCACCTGTGTTTTCATCATGCGGTTCTTCAAGCGCTCCTAACGCTCACCATTTGCCTTATAAGGACGCCGTATTTATGGTAGACGACCTGGAGCATCAGGAAAATACCCTGTCGAGCCATGCTCCTTCCGCACGGGATCATGCATCGCCATCCGGTGCATACACACTCTACAGTGGAAGCAACACCGAAGGCTCAGACGCATCGAACGTCGCACGCTGCAGTGCGCAAGAGCCTCTCGTAGTGAACAGGGTAGAAGAAGCTTCTGAAGAACTTTCTACCAACTCTGAAGCATTATCTTCATTGCCTGAAGTGCCTGACAACAGCCCACAAACTACCAGCTGCCGACTGGGCCCCACATCAAGTTGTGAAGAAAACCAGCGCGATGCTCAAGGAGGGATTTCACCGCAATGCGTTCCACAGCAACATCAGCAACGCCAGCAAAAGCAAGTCCAAGAATCGCAGGCATCCCAACGGATACACTGACAAGGACGACGACGCAAAGTAAGCCTCTTAAAACAAATTCAAGACGTCAGCCATCTTCGCATAAGGGATCGGCGCCAGAAACGCATTTGGCGCAAGAGATCAAGACTGCGCCTACAATTACAGCTCCGAAACAGCAGAAAATGACGAAAGAGATGAGAAGGCACCATCTCTACAACGCAGAGACCAAGACATCATTCTGATTTCATCAGCTGCGACCATCGCACATGCAAACTAGAAGCACCCCGTCTGTTCCCATCACGAGACTCAACTCGACGCCTTCAACATTCGAACTTGAAATGCTACAGGGACTGCCACTCTTACCCGTTCCTCGCAAGAAATCAACCCATGTCACCACCAGTGCAGATCTCCAGGGTGTGTTTATGCCATCCGGAACGCAACAGTCAACCTCGCCCACCAGAACTCCTGCGTTAACCGGACTGCTGCCCTCTCCACTGAAGTCTTCGAAAGTTTACGGAACTTCTCTGGAGCATAGAACCAATTGTGACTTTTGACATTTGTGACTTTTTAACCTCTCCTTGTTTGCTTTTTCTTGTTCATAATTCATGCCTTCTTTCGGGGGGAGGGGGAAGGAATCCTGTAACGTAAGTAGGTATTGACTGAAGGTAGAGGCTGAGGAAGAAGTCAGAGTAGAATAAACATGGGGTATGAGCCCGGCCTCGGCGCCAATACTACATCATAGCGTCACATTATATATGTATATATATATATATATATATATATATATATAGGTTCGTTTCCTGCTCACAGTTGGTAATTTTTTCATCCACTTTTCTTTCTTCTTATTTACATTCCATTGGTTTTAATAACTTCCCCTGTACATTCCTTGGCATTACTGTCTGTTATATCTCATTAATATTGTGTTAAAACACGAAAAACGAGCCCTTAGGTATACACTTCTTTCCCTTATTTTATATATATATATATATATATATATATATATATATATATATATATATATATATTTATATATGCTCGAGTTGTATCCTCCAGGTCGGGCTTCTCTCGGGCTACCTCCTCAGGGAAGGTCGAGTTGCAATGACAGGTAGCACAGCGAATCGGGCTGAAAGCAGCTATCAGTTTGGAGCTCCACTCCACTCAAGTCTGCTGCTTTCAGCCTTCGTAATGGTACCATGCCGATGCACCTTCCCGAAGATAGTCTGTACGGCCACGGACCTTTCATTATATATATAGATGGTAGCGAAGGCTCCATAGAAGCCCATACGTTCAAAAAATGGCGGGTGATCAACTGCTCACGGGGCTTAGTGCCATCTCTCTGAAGAGATAACCCTACCGCTGGAACAAAAAATAAAGTGAATGTGACGCAATAGGTGGTAAAAGCTGTCAAAAGAAATCGTATTTGTGACGTCCTTTTTTTGTGCACTAGCATAAAATTTAACCTCAAATTACTTTTCACCGGCGCCTAATAGCTAATCACTCGCGCTAAGATGATCGCCCATGAGTAATCCACGAGAGCGCTTCAAGCCAACGCCAGCTATTGTGATGCGGACTCATTACTGATAGTGATACTCGATTTTACGAGAAAGCTTATTCTTTTAACTTTTATTCGCCTGTTCGTGGTATCTTCTACTGATTAATAAAGGCAACCAACAGCGTAGCAGTGTATACAAGTGATATCTCCAGCAGGACTTATTTGTTTCTCACATGCGCAGGTGCGCCCGCAAGCCGCGGGATCGAACCCTGGCTGCGGCGGCTGCATTCTAGACGGAGGCGGAAATGTTGTAGGACCATGTGCTCAGATTAGCGTGCACGTGAAAGAACTCCAAGGTGGTCAAAATTTTCTGAGCCCTCTACTTCAGCGTCTTCCATAATCATACGGTGGTTTTGGCAAGTTAAACCCCACATATCAAACAATCATACGCAGGTTCTTTGGCATGCACAATGCCTGCGATTTTCTGTTTCAACAGGAAATGACGCCTAGTCACGCCAAATTGATGATACTTTAGGTTTATTCAATGGTCACAATCACTCAACTTTATTACAATGCAGAAAATGTTAAAAACAAAAACATAGGTGGACATTCCCTGCGTTATGTTTTTCGGGGTTTTTTGTTTGCATTACGCTCCGAGAAAGTACCGGTACGTATGCTAATAAAGACATGCAAATTGTATTGTAATAGGTAACTTGGCAATCTGCTCACCGATAACGCGAATTGTAGACTGCATGCTCAAGAAGGAAAGCGGGCTGCAGAAATATTAGTGGATAGAAGTCCAGCGAACAGTCCATTCCGAACCATTGCCTTTGTTTCTTATCTAGAAGACATTGGTTACCAAGCATACGTTTGCTGCTACTGCATTCTTTCACTCCCTACTAAGGAGTAAATAATTGGAGCAGGGGAGCTTTATGGACCCATGCACTGGAGAAACACCCATCCCGGCTAACTTTCACTTACATTGTATTGCTTTGGTACCGCTGGGGAGACATTACCGCTGTCCACTGATCATCCAATGGGCAGCTGAAGCGGCGACTGGGTTTTGATAACTGCATCGACAAGGAAATGAGGACGGCGTTCCTGGATGGAGAAGCCCACGGTGCTGACGACCAACGAGGCTACGGACCGGTGGCTTAAGCCACAAAGTTGTAGAACAGCGCCACTCTAACGCAAAGAAATGAGAAAACACCTGTTCTCCGGGCCAGCTGTTCTTATTTTACCCTTCGTATTCCTCAACCTTGTTAGCATGCGTGCCTGTGCCAGCGAGCCAGTGTGTCGCCCCACACTTCATAAATTCTGTTCGAGCCCCTGACAACACCAGACTGCCTTTTCAAGAGAAAGCTTCTCACAGGCAGAACATGAAAAATGAATTTGTGGCCAGCGCGTCCGTGTCGTGGCACGTTATCCTTTCTACTCGTAAAATCTTAATTTTCAGAGTTTATTCAAAGCAACTGCAAAATGCGGCTGCTTTTCATAAAGCAGCTAGCGGTAGCGGTAGGAAACACTGGGTTGCGTGCACTTGAATTTTCAATAAAGAAGTATTTATTGTGTAGTTGAAAATTTTAAACACTGCATCAATTGGATCTACAGTGGTGTGAGGACATAGAGTGTTCACGCTGTTACAATTTGAGTATTGTGTTCTAACTTAGCGCGCATATCACGTTAGAGAGATGCCTCCTGAACTTTGACTGAGAGAGTGCTGTACATTACGTATGCGTAAGGTTTTTTTTAGAGCCCGCATATGCATTCATACCATTGTGGCCATCACGCCCCGTGTAAATATTCCCTTCAGTCACTGCACACATCACTGTGTACGTGAACTTCGAAGGCGCATTACACGCTGCTTCACCCGCCGGCTGTTTTTTTTTTTCAAATGGCCCGAAACTTTGTGTGAACATTTCTGCAGGCCTCTTGAGTGCACAACGGGTGATCATCTATTTCGTTGCACTGCAAATTTCTCTAGAGGAGGACTTTTCTGCAGATATTTCAATGTTCGACGATCGTTCAACGTACCTCGGTCTAGTACTCACGTGAAATTTTTTTCTGCGCTCGCAACAAATGCAGCTAAAAATCGAACTGCGCGTGAATTTCAGGCCTTATATGATTCTTTTTATGCATATACTGAAGTTGACTAGCAGAAAATATCTAGATATTTAGTTACACACTCAATAATCAATAAACACACGAAACATCACGTCGTTTTTTATGCAAGCACTCAAGCTGACTAGCGGCAGATGAACTATATAATTATTTACACAGTCATTGGCTTGTCAATACAGAGTTAAGTGAGGTAGAACAAGCCCTACTTAAACCCAAAACTACATGGCGTTCTTTTTATGCAAGTACTGAAGCTGACTAGGTGGAAGAATATTTACATAATTAGTTACACAGTCGTTTACTTTAATTACTGAAAAACAAAACTACACGTCCTTTTTATGAAAGTATTGAATATGACTGCCGGCTGAATAATTATGTCATTTGTTAAACACTTCGTAACTTTAATAACCTAAACTCTGAGAAGCTCACACCTTCCTTCATTATCATCCTCAGAATGTAATATGAGTGCCTTGCTCTTATGCAAAGAGACTTGCACGCGTTTCTGACTGCCCATGTTAGTTGCGGAAACACTTAGAACGCGCAACCAAACTGTATACGTTTTAGTTGTTTTGCAGCGAAAGGCTTGTTCTACCTCACTTGAAAAAAGTGTTGCAAGTTGAAATGTATAGAAATGGTAAAAGGCTACCACGCATTGAATTTTTAAGCGTAGTTCTCTGCCGAAATAAAAAGAGCCAGTTAGTGTACTTATAGTTGCTATCACCGTAAAAAAGTAAAGCTGCAGCTAATTGATTGTTGGGTAGAGTCGAACACAAGTTGCGCTGCTATTTTGATGATTTCAAGATCGTAGATTTGCTAATGTTCCACTGGGCGATTGAGTCATGATGGCAATCCTAGCCCAATAGTAATGTAGGTCAACACTCTGTCTTTGTAAATCTGCCAGGTCTGCCAGCTGTTGAAGGAAGGGAGCGTCACCGTTATGGACAAAATGGCCTATGCACCTTACGCCTATCTGGGGGACGTCTGGATCTCTTACGAGAACGTCGAGAGTGTCGTTCTAAAGGTTGGTGCACTGTATTTTCACTCGCAGACAATCACTGAGTGCTGGTGTTATGTTTTGTTGTTTGCACCACAATGACACTAAATACATAAGTTATGTTTTAAAAAACAGCTGCCAGTGAGTGATAAACAATTGATTGATATGTGTGGTTTAACGTCCCAAAACCACCATATGATTATGAGAGACGCTGTAGTGGAGGGCTCCGGAAATTTCGACCACCTGGGGTTCTTTAACATGCACCCAAATCTGAGCACACAGGCTTACAACATTCCCGCCTCTATTGGAAATGAGCGATTAACGACGATTAGTCTGCCGAGAAAGAATTACGATATTGCCGACAACAAGATCTCCATAGGCGTTACGTTGAAGAAGGCGAAAGTCGCGGGTTTAAGACAGAGCTTTTCGCATCGGGGAAACGTGCCCCGAAAATGAAAGTCAAAGTACAAGCACGGTATACTGTAAAGTTTTAGCGGCGCACAGAACGTCGACAATCTGATGATCGGCTCAAGGCGCAGACTTTTGTGAATCAGCCACCGAACCTTCTTGTGTTATTGCTGGGGCTCGCGTGAGCTCTTCGTGAAGTTCACCATTTGCGTCCATCCTGTCATCGTAGTAAATTGAGGTGAAACATGCAGTCACGAAGCTTCTAGAACACTGTGGCGCAATCTGGCCCAGGCGTTGCTAAGTTTGTTTGCGGGTAAACCTGAATGCACCAAACAAACCAACAAACACGTGGTGTAATCCTCCCAACCTCTGAAAAAGCATCGCCGCAATTTTAAAATAGAGTTCGGGAGTAGAAAGAAAGCAGGAAACAGGAACGAAAAGCCCAGAAAAATTAGCAGGCCTTCACGTGCGTAGAGCAACGTAAGGCGCAAAACGAACGACTTCAGGTTGCGTGCTGCGCCGCATGAAGTTGGTAATGCCATCCGGAATGACTTCGTACTTCAGCCTTTTGAGAGAAAACAAAAGGTATGTGTGACTCAATTCGAAGAGTTCTGCCTTGAGACAACTCTCTTGAAAAAGGTAAGGGGACTTTCCTGGAGGGTCAGAGTCAGCCCTCTTTAGTAAATGTGAAATGTCTGTTCTTGGAAGGATGACCTTACATGTCTGAGAGAGTCAGCTGACTCTCGCTGGTGACACTTTTACGTGGGTCAAATTACACTCACTGAAGTGTCGAACAGATTTACAACTAATTTAAGGTATCTAATATACCCATAAGTCGCTTTCGCATGACTGCTCTTCGAAATAGTGTAGTATTCATTTTGGAAACTCCAAGAATACATGCCGTTGTGTACAGTGACCACAAGAAATATAGTTATGTTTTAAAAGCACTTTAGTAAGTTTCGTCAATACAACACACCTTACCGAGCACAATAGTATACAAGTGTAACAAAATAGTCTATGACTTCCAGTTGACCAGCTCAGGTATTTCGCATATGCGTGCTGCCATTATTATAGCCAACCAAAAGAAAAATGTGACTTCGACGTGCATAGTGTCTTCTCGTGAAAAATAAACTACAGATATCGGCATCACGTTTCGATATTTGTTTGTTATGACCGTGAATAAATCAGAAAGTGGTAACAGCTGCGGGCATCAGAATTATGACATGCTATGTTATCACTCCTGTTCAGTGTGAACAGCCGTAAAGGAATTAGACCTGAGAAGCAGAACGCGATGATGAGAAAACTGCATCGTTTAGCAACTAATTTGTCCACTCATAATGAAAGCTCACAATATAACAGCAAAATCAAACAGGCACAGTGAGAAACCATGATGGTGCAAAACACAGTTTTCAAATTGTAGCATTTTCACTTGCAACTTGTTGACAACCTTGCATCAAAACATGTTGTGATATTCATTTAAACAACGAAAGCAATTGTTGTAGGCTCGTTTGCCAGTGTAACACTCAGCTCGTTTCCTGCGTCCAACTAAAGTAACTATAGTATGGACTGCATCTTTGGCTGAGCACACGCTGCTGTTGATTTTCCTATCACTATTGGTCAGGCGCCCGATCATAGGGACATGTTCCTTTCCTCGAATATGGCTGGCAAGCGTAGTGACGAGGCTGGAAAGGCAATCCGGGATTCTGGGAATAACCAACACACACACACACACACACACACACACACACACACACACACACACACACACACACACACACACACACAGATTTCGAGCCTTGTTCGTTCTTCACAAGACCTCAAGTCGTGTCATCAACAGTGGAGATGTGCAGGGCAGGGTTATGCTATCCAGGGCAGAACAGCCAGCCTCGTCCACCAGAGCTACCCTATATATGACCGGATTGCTGCCCTATACTGTGAAGCTTTTGTGCGAATTAAGAAACTCTCTCCTGAAATCCAACTACCGTGCATCTTGACATTCTTCACGTTATGCTTTTCATCGTTTCGTTGATTGCAACTCGCGCATTCTTTTGGGGGGAGGGAAAATCCTGTGACGTAGAAAGGCAGTGACTTGTAGTAGAAGCTAAGGAGGAAGAAGTCAGAGTAGAATAAACATGGCGTATGAGCCAGGCCACGTCGCCCATTCATCAAAGCATCATATATATATATATATGTATATATATATATATATATATATATATATATATATATATATATATATATATATAGATACATATTTATATATATATAATATATATATATATATATATATATATATTGTGGGCATTTGTAACTTACATCGTCCTCATCCCTGCATAATCACCATCATCCGCTTGTCTGTTTGCCCTCATTGCCACTCTGGTTCATCATCATCGTCATCGTCTGTGTGCTGGCTCTGCCCGTTCGTTTTGCGAGGTCTTTCCTCAAATAAACGCTGTCGCAGCCAAGACTACCAAGACTTCATACGTGGTGGAGGTGGATTTTCGGTCCTCTGACCTCCCGCAGCCCGCTATACCCCCTGGAGCTTCGTTCAGGCCGCCGCTTGCTCCCACAGTCAGGCAGCATGTCCCAGACCGAGCCTGCCGGCACTGATGTCATCAACCACGCACCGCCGCAAGCTGCCCCTCCTACTTACATACACGGACATCAGCGGGAACCCCCGCTCTTCGCTGGTAGTCGTGGAGAAGACGTAGAAGACTGGATCGACGACTACGACCGCGTAAGTGTCGCTAATCGGTGGGACGAGGCCGCCAAACTGCGTTACGTCCCATTTTATCTGACCGGAGTCGCAAAGACATGGTATTTTAACCACGTCATTGACTTACCCGACTGGGCTACCTTCCAGCAGCAGCTGCGGCACGTCTTTGGGACACCAGACATTCGATCCGCCGTCGCGAAGAGGACACTCGATACTCGCCGACAACATCGCGGTGAATCGTATACTTCATACATCGAGGATGTCCTCGCACTCTGCCGGCGTGTCAATAAATCCATGCCGGAATCGGACAAAGTGCGCCACATATTGAAAGGCATTGGGCCTGTTGCCTTTAATGCCCTCGCTGTGCAAAACCCAGCTACCATCGCTGACGTCGTTGCGACATGCCAGCGCCTTGATGCGCTGGACTCCGTCCGCCTTCAACCAGACATCGGCGACCACCACTCCACGTCAGATGGCCATCTGCGTGACCTCATCCGGGACATTATACGCGAAGAATTGCGGTCCATGGGCTTCACACCTCCTACACCGCGACCTACTCAGCCTTCGGGAATGCCCTTACGTGACATCATCAGGGAGGAACTTACATCCCTGACTGGCTCTGCACCCGTACAGCCACCTGCTTCTCACCCTTTAGCTACGTACCCTCAAGTTGCTGCCGTGCCTCCCAGCGACGTCCACGCGACATTGCCACGTCCATCCTACGCGTCAGTTGCTGCCGCTACCCCTGTGAACTACCATTCCGTGCCCCCTGACCCTTCGGCCCACCTGACCGCGCTATCTCCAAGTGCCCCGAATGCCTTCTATTCTCCACCGTGGCGCTCGTCTCGCCCTGTATGCTTCTACTGTGGCTATCGCGGCCACATATCCCGTTTCTGCCGGAAGCGCCAGCAAGATGAGCGTCGGAACGATGTGCGTGAACGGGATTTGTACAACGGGGCGTCTTATCAAGGTCGGCGTTATTCGTCTCCCCCGCACCGGTCTCCATCTCCTCCTGCATCGACTGCACCACGAAACAGCCGAAACACGAGACGCCGCTCGCCTTCGCCCTTCCGCCGTTCCACTTCTCCACTTCGGCCCGCCTCATTCGCCTCTGATATTCGTTCGGAAAACTAAGTGATGCAGTTTGTGGAGGAAAAACTGCATTCGGAATTAGAACTGAAATTCCTCCATTAGGCCCGTGTAACATGGTTTCTGTGGAAGTGGAAGGAGTGCGAGTCGATGCTTTGGTGGACACAGGTGCGACATTGTCTGTGATACGTGCTGATTTGTGTGAACATTTAAGGAAAGTAATGACGCCTTACGATGGTCCCACGTTAGTTGCTGCCCAGGGGAACATCATTCGCCCTTCCGCGCTTTGTACTGTGCGTGTTTTCATCGACGGCATCCGCCATCATGTCCAGTTTGCTGTCCTGTCCCGCTGCTCTCACCAACTAATTTTAGGGTGGGATTTTCTATCATCTGCTTCCGCGGCGATTTGTTGTGGACAACGCGTCGTTCACCTCGCCGACACCGACTACATGCTTGACGACGATAATCAGAAGCCACTTCGTCTGGTCGCTGCGAAAGACATCGAACTCCCGCCACTACAAGAGCAAATTGTCACCATTACGTCCAACGGCATCTATCACGGGGATGTATTGGTCTCACCGTCACCACTTTGCGTTCGCAAAGGTATAGTTCTTCCGTCCGGTGTCGTTCGTTTTTGCAATGGCTCGGCACTTGTCACCGCTGTCAACTCTACACCGGAGAAGATCTTACTGCCACAGGGCACTACTGTGGCCCGTGTTGCTGACTTCGAGCCTGTACTCGTCACGCCACTTCAGGCCATCGCATCTAAAGAACCTTGCCTCGGTGAGCATGTTTCTTCCTCCGCCTTTACCAC